CTACTACGAATTCTCTATCTCTCTTAATATTTGTTTTCTTTTTTATTGATCAACTCTTTCCCAAAACCAACCATGTTCTCCTCAACCTGAACTCCTGAAACTCAGTTTAGGAGCGAACCAAACCCTCTCTTATTTGCAGATACAACTGATAAAAATCTAAAGAAATGTGCAAAAACAGAATGATTTTAACTAAAATTAATTTTCATCCTTGCTTATAATATGGATGGGTGAACATTGGGCAAGAAAGGGAGGGCTTTTGTCTATTGTAGGGGTAGTTTTTAGTTGAATTGAATTGTAGTACAGTGCATGAGTAGAAAGTATAAGATAGTTCTGTACAAAGCCACGTAGTTGAATAGTTGGTTAGAAAACCAGAAACATGTTTGCACACTTGTAATGGTTCTCAATACATAGTATTTGTCCCTGTATACGGTCCTTTTGTTTCCATATTTGTTCATATGTCGACTATTTGTCTGAGTGTTGTGGTCGTGTGTTTGTCACAGATTTGTCGGTTTCTAATCTTCAGAAACAGTTCAATATCAATATGATATTGGAGTAAAGTACAGAGAGCTTTTCCACTAATTCATCACTGTTATCTATCCATATTCATCGCTTCCCATTCTCTACCCTTACCCATCCAATTCTTCCCATTTGATCCGCTTTTGTTCATCCCTATACCGTCATCATCCTTTTCCCAAATCTTTTATCACATTTCATTCGGACGCGGATATTCATCCTTTCTCTTACTTCATTTTCACTATAGGCTCCTCTCTTTAGAAAGAATTTAGTTTTTTTTAAATCTTTTATCTTTGCAACTTGATGTTGTGATCTTTGATATTTCATACTAAGAGGTTGCAAAGATATGTGGGATAAGAAAATTATTGTTTGTGGCGGATAGTGGTTATCATTGCAGTTTATTGGAAAGATGGGAGTAGATAGGTTGATAAAATTATGAAAGAGGATAGGTAGGCTGATATGTATAGTTTATATCATTATATTGTACATTGTGATGGCAGCAGAAAGACAATATTGTGACTCATCTCAACCTAAACTAATTAACAAGAGATTATCAGGAACAATTATCAATATTCAGAGTGAAATAGCAGATCCGGGGAGGGG